GCGCCACCCGGGAGACGGGCGGGGAGCGGGGACCCTCCCAGAGCGCGTGCACACAGCCCGGCACCCCGGGCTTTAAAGGGGGACGCTTACAGTCGTTTCCAACATTTCAAATACAATCTCATCTCACCACCCCAACACCACCCCTACCACCGCCCAAAAAACACCAAAAAGTAGTCACTGAAATGGCATGATATGGGCTGTAGACGTGGTTCCCCCCAAGGTCCTTTACGACGTTCGAAGGGAAGGAAATGTTGGTTCTGACCCATAGCGACCCTATGCCCAACAGATGGAAACATAACTCGGGCCTGTGCCATCTCCACAATTGTCCCTATGCCCGAGCCCATTGCTGCAGCCATTGGGTGACTGGGGGCATCTTTAGTTTTCCTTTCCCAGAACCAGGCAAGGGTCACTGAGTCAGAAGGGAGCCCTAGGGGCGCAGTGGATACACGTTGGGTTGATCCCTGCAAAGTGGGCAGTTGGATACCACCAGTCGCGCGGTGGGAGAAAGAGGCCGCTTGCTAATTCCCTCAAGAGTAACAGTCTCAGAAATACACAGGGGTAGGTCTAGTCTGTCCTACACAGTCACTACGAGTTGGAATCCTGTGGACAGCGGTGAATTTGAATTTGGAGCAAGATATTATGTAATGAAATTTAAAACTTTATTGGTAGCTGCCTATGAGTCAATGAGGATTGGTGGCGACCCCACGTGTTCAGAACAGAAGCACGCCCTAGTTTTCTAGGCTGTGATCTCTACGCTGCAACTTCCAAGGTGCCTAAGGGTAGGTTCGAATGACCACCCTTCACTCTGGCAGGTCACCATTTGTTCCTTGCAGGCAACCTCACATCCCTAAACACAGAAAAATGAAACATTTTGAGAACTATCCCCTGCGAGTGTTTACGTTGTCTGATGTGACACCTGGTTTTGAGCATGCTGTGATGTAGTTTACCATCGGCTATTTCTTTTCCACCGGGGACCATTGAACGGACACAACTGATTTATAAATCGAATATTGAAAAGGAAAAAAAAAAACTGCTATCAAGCTGATATCTACTCATCGTGCCCCTCTAGGGTCCCATGTGCCTGCCCTTGTGGGTTTCCAAGAGGGCCATCTTTGTTGCTGTCAGGTGCCCCAGAGCCTCTTCTGACTCACAGCCACCCTGTGTTTAACGGCCAGGAAAACCCCCCAGTCCTTCACCAGCCACACCGTGGTTTAGGTTTGAGCCTCTTGTTGCAGCTGGTTGGTGTCCTTTCCCAGGGACTCGTGTCTCGTGTCTCCTGATCAGCATGTTCCAAGTACGGGCTGGCCTCTCTGAGCTGCTGGAGTGCTCTGCCTTGTTTGCACCGACCGTGGAGACACT